TTTTTTTTTTTTTTTTTTTTTTTGTATTTTTTTGTTCAATTTTTTTTTTTTGCGAGTTCGTTTTTTAATATCCATCTTCTTCACCTTCAGTTTCTTATCATCTCACAGTGCTACTTCTTCACCTTATGCGCGTTGTGCTTCTCATTTCCTGAAGTATCTGCGCCATCTCTCTATATTCCAAAGCAGTGCTCATCTGGTGGCGGGTGAAGACTCTTCATTTGTGCTTAGTCGCTCACATGTGCATTCGCAGACAGACTGTGTCGCCGCAGCCTGCCTTCATATTTTTTTTTTGTTTTCACCACACATTAAAAAAAAATAATAATAATAAAAAAAAATAGCCGCCCTTAACGATCGTTGATCCATTATAACAAAAACATAAATGGACGTCGTGCCATCGTCCTAATCTCTCTCTCCCTCTCCGTTGTCGATCACTCTGTCTCTCTCCCCTCACAACGAAACTGTCAGCCCTCGTGGGAACCACCAAATCACCGCGCACACTCGAGGGAACGAAAAGGTGTTGTAAACTATACAAAATATGAAAACAGCGTGTCTGTGTATAAAAACAGAACAAAGAATGAAAACATAAAAGTACACTGGTGTTCGACCATTTCAGGATTCATCAGCGTGACAATGTCGTTGTTAACGTCACCGTCATCATCATCACCATACAACACCATCGCAACACGAAAAAGTCTTTACAAAAATGAACTCCCCACCTCGTCGTGGCCGTCAAACCCCGCCTCGTCGTCGTCGTCGTCGCCATCGCTCCCCGCCTCGTCGTCGTCCTCGTTATCGCTCCCCGTGTCTTCATCGGACGTTGGTGACAACATCAAATACCCATTAGGCGGGGGAGGGTTGGACCACGAATCGAAGTGGCTGTACGTGGCGGCGATCTCCGCCCATCTGATCGGCCCATGGGTGGCAACCACACCCCAACCGCCGTTTAGCTCATCAAGAGCAACTGCGTTTGAGCCCCGTCCTGCACTTCCGCTATCGTCGTCGACATGCACCTGGGCTGGCGACATGCCCGATGCCGCTGACGGGACCGTGCCGCCACCTGGAACAGGCACCTGGGCTGGCGGCATGGCCGATGCCGCTGACGGGACCGTGCCGCCACCTAGAACAGCCACCTGGGCTGCCGGCATGGGCGACGCCGCTGATGGGAGCGTGCCGCCACCTGGAACAGCTTGTGTGTGGACGGTGACGCCGATATGGCCTGCCGTCCCCTGTGTGCTGGTGCTGCTATTCCCGCCGTCTATCATTCTCTCTCTCTCTCTGTCTCTCTCTCTCTCTCTCTCTCTCTCTCTCTCTCTCTCTCTCTCTCTCGCCACCCTTCCGCGAGTGTTAATCAACCTACTTCTGTCGTGTGTCTGGCATCCTTGGTTTCTGCATCGATTTGTGGGAACAACAATCAGGCCATTCACTTAATAGTTGTGTGACGATGGCGGACCAGCAGTAAGCGAGCGAGGCATGTTTGTTTTTCGGTGATGTTTTTTTTTGTTGTGGTTCAAGTTTTCTTTCTTTTGGTTTTGTTTCAGGCATTGTTTTTTTTTCGTTGTTGATTGTTTGTTTTTTTATCACGTCGAAGCGGTGCCGATCATACGGACCGTGCAAACGTCGATGAACTGTCACTTCACCGGGCCTGTCACCTGAAGACTCACCCCAACAGTCGGTGTTGTTTTGTTTTGGTTGTGGTTGAACTTGTTTTTTTTTTGGTTTTGTTTGAGG